AATGGTCACCTGGTAATCACCCCGACACTCTCGACTGAAATTTCGACAACACCGAGTTTAGTTGGGTTCATTTAACTCTAAGAACCAAAATGCATCACCATCGATTCAACCCACTTTAATCAGATCAATTAATTGTTTTATAATTTAGCAGCGAGTTGGATGGAAAGAAGATCGTCAATTGCATCTCTATTCCGTTCCTATTTAAATGGGATGTAATTTTAGGGTGTGTAAGACGATATATGCAAATTAGGTACAAAACAAGGCCACAAGTGTAGCAAGGGGGCAGAAGACTGGAGATCGTGGCCTAGAAGTAAAGATCATGGCCGAGATCTTAGACCGCGAAAACAAGCTGAAGATCACGGCCTAGTAGCCCAAGATCCCGACCACGAATTGGAGGGCTCAAAGCGCGAAATTCGCTAAGAAGGAGCCGAGGAGAAACAGAGAGTTTACCCAGTCAAAGTCAACCCACGATCTCCTCAATCACGAAGGCCAGCACGACCTCCTCTGAAGATCCCGCCCGCAATCTATGTCCTTCTGGCCGCGAACTTGTTCGTCCTCTGATTGCCTATAAATAGGAGACTCATTTCACCCTTTTAGAGGAGTTGATTTTGAGAGAAGAATTCTGGGTTTAGAGAGAGTGAGAGAAGCTGAAGGAAGGAGAAGGAGCAAGAAGAGAGGAGGCATCTTCCTCAACCTCAAGTCTTCTTCAATTTTTTCTATCTATCTTCTTCCCTCCTTTATGGAGTAGTCCTCTAAGGTACTAGGGGTTCTAAACCTCAAACCCTAGTTTTAGGGTTTACTATGTATGTATGGTTATTTTAGGGTTTGAATGAATGAATGTGTTTATCTAGTTGATTCTATTGCTATTCTATCTTTGATTGTGTTTGGGTAAGTCGCCCTAATCTTCTCTATTAGCATACTTTACGTTTCTAGGGTATGGAGTTCTAGGGTTAGACGGGTATGCGTCATCAAGCAAATCAAGATAGATGTATGAATAGGGACCTATGGTGGTCGAGACGACCAAACCCCTGCTATAAGTAGCCTTCCTAGATAGAACCCGGGATAAAACCTCGGTGTGGATGGTGGATAGTATCCATTGAAATGAGCTACGAGCTTAATGCCCCAAATACGATAGCCTAGATGGAGGTGACTTTATATGGGTTTAAGGGAGGCATACTCGAAGGCGCGTGGATAACCACGGGATCCCACGGGAAAGACATAATCTTGTACTTGCTTACTTGACTTGAGAAGTTTGAGCTTACTTAGATGATCTCCCGCACAATGGGAAGATATAAGCTTATTAACTCACACTTGGATTAGCTTAGAATTGAACTTGTATTTGCTTGATTCATAACTTAGTTTACTTATGCTTCATGATGCTATGCATATTTATAGTAAAGGTTGAACGTAATAATTTAACATAACACAAAAGCATAAAGGAATATCATAAACATAAGGCAAGAACTGAAATGCATAATATGAACTTAAATACATAGACTGATAACGAAAACTACTCTAGCCCCCTTTAACCACGCACCTTAATTCTCAAATGATTGACTTTATCGGATATCCTGACTAAGTTTGATCCAGCCCCCACTCAATATTGACACCCGCCAATACTTCTTGTTCTTGATATCCCCAAAAGTTGTTGCGGAGCATCCCGTAGCATTTGTTCGACTTTGTTCCACATCAACATAGAATCATGCATTGCCAATTATCATGCACCAATCGTACCCAGCCTTCCATCAATTATTCACTATAGTTAAATTTCCCTTGACTTATTGACACCATCATTGACGCACCCTAATTTCTTAGAACAATGAACCTGAACCAACCAACATTTGCTTTGGATTTTCCCACACATAAAAATTCCATCCATCCATGCATGCATACGCAGAAGGTTCCACCTATTTTCCCCAGCAAGATCATTTCATAATTTGAAGAGAAAGGGAAGGTCCAGGTCCTTAACTCCATCGTCCCGTCTGAATTCGAACCTCGTGTTGGGCCATCGTGCGGCAGCGGCACCATCATCTCCTACCCGTACGTCATGTACTTGATACCAGCATTCTACGCACGCCGTCTTGGTCGTGAGCTTCTTCACCTTCGACAAACTATGTTTGCCATAGCGCTGTCAACACCGAAAGCTCGACAAGGCTGCTGATGGTCAAGTTCTCTCTTTCACATGCTCCCTTCGATCCCTTCTCCACTACCAGATATTTCGCTGATCGAGCTTTGATGATCGGCGGAGGGTGTTTACGAGAAGAACAATGGTGTGATCTAGGGCTTTTTATCCGCCGCTAGTGCTAGGATTTGCTCTAGGGTTTAGTTTAGTTTGAATATATCGTTAGTCGATTACTAAGTCATGGAGGGTAGTTTAGGATTTTCAAATATAAGAAAGGATCGGGTGTTACATGAACTTTAAATTAACTGATAAGAAAATAAATAATAAAAACCGATAACAGATCCAAAAAGTCAGGAAACCAAATTCTTGGCCAATAGCAATTCCGACCGGTTCATGGGCCAACAGGTTGGGCTTGTAAATAACTAAGCAGTGCCATGTCATTGCTGATGTGGACTAATCAGAGACAACGACACCGATAATACACTTTTTATAGCGGGCGAAATTTGGCAGCAGGCTGGGTTGCCGCTCGCAGTAGCAGCCAACCCACGTGGAGCCTTTTGATTGGCTAAATATTTATTCTTTTCAATTTTTTTAATGGCTAACCTAAAAATGGTCACATTCCGTTCCGTTAACTCCTTTTCCCTTCACTTTTTCCAAGATGGAAGCGGAGACTTGCATTTTTTTTTGTATATAATTAACTTTTGGTTTTAGGTTTAATTTCTTCCGTTAGATTTTTTCACATAAAAGCTTTATTATATTTCTTTCCCCTCTGATTTACTCCAAGCCGCAGCAACTCCCTCTCAACGAAAAGAATCATCCTCTCACTGTTGGGTTTATTTTGAACAATGTCATCGGCAACAGGTTCTTCTTTTCCTTCTAATTAGGTTTACGCTAGCTTTTATCTAGTTGATCTTTGTAAAGTTACTGTTGTTGAGGAATTATTTTAGCTATTTGTTCCTATAAATCCACTGTATGCTTTCAATTTTGATACGAATGCAGTGGAATTATGTTAATTGAGTACTATTTTTCATGTATTCATGGGTTGCTTTGATAATGGTGATCATTCAATATTTTGTGTTACCATTAGCTCTTATAGCCTTACAAATTTGATGTTATGTTCTATCTTCTAGGTACGGATCATACGAGTCCCAGAACACGAGGTGCAGATAATATGACTGAAAGAAGCGAAGTGCCATGTATAGGCATGAAGTTCGATGGCGATGATAGTGCTTATGAATTTTATAAAGCATATGCCCACAGTATTGGTTTCAGTGTAAAGAAGCGTTACGTCAAGCGAACGCGAGCTGGTCACGTGAAAAGAAGAACATTTTGTTGTTCTAAAGAAGGCAAAAAGGGTTTCGATAAAAGGCGTGAGAATGTGGCTTTTGAGCGACCAGTTACAAGAATCGGTTGTTTAGCACAAATGACTTGTCAACTGAAAAAGGATGGCTTGCTGGAGATTGTTTCATTTGAAGCAAATCATAATCATGACCTTGCTCCCACTCCAATGAAGCACATGCTGAGATCCAACAGAAAGATAAGTTTTGCTCAAAAAGCTATTGCAAATGATGCTGAGAGAGCTGGGTAGCCAATTAAGGCAACTATCGATTTACTAGCAATACAGAATGGAGGTCGTGAAAATAATGGATTTTTGGATTCAGACTACAAAAACTATATTGCTGCACAAAGACGAGCTACAATGATTAAAGGAGATGGTCAATCAATTATGGATTATTTTCGTAAAGCACAATCAGAGGATCCATCGTTTGTTTACTCATTGCAGCTTGATGATGATGATCTTGTTCTGAATATGTTCTGGGCTGATGGCAGGTCAATAATTGATTACAAGTACTTCGGCGATGTTATATGTTTTGATACAACATATAGAACTAATGAGTATGGTCGACCGTTTGCTCCATTTGTGGGAGTCAATCATCTGAAGCAGACAGTGATCTTTGGGGCAGCATTACTTTATGATGAAACAATATCCTCCTTCAAGTGGTTGTTTGAAGCATTTTTGGGTGCAATGGCTGGAAAACAACCCAAAACCATATTGACAGATCAATCAGCTGCTATGGCCAAAGCAATTGAAGAGGTATTTACTGAAACTCATCATCGTTTATGTGTTTGGCATATTTATCAGAATGCTGCTAAACACTTAAGCCATGTGTTTCATGCATCCGACCAATTTGCTAGTGATTTTAGTTCATGTGTATATGACTATGAAGATGAAGATGAATGGTATAAAGGTTGGGATGCTATGCTTAAAAAGTATGATTTGGAAAATAATGAATGGTTGCAAGGGATATTCTCAGTAAAAGAAAAGTGGGCTATGGTTTATGGGCGTCATATGTTTACTGCTGATATGAAGAGTACACAACGTAGTGAATCAATGAATAGTGTGTTAAAGAAGTATCTGAAGCCAAAACACAATATGGTATACTTTTTTGATCATTATGATGAATTAGTAGAAGACAGAAGGTACCAAGAACTACTTGCAGAGTTCAAAATGAGGAACACAAGCCCTGCATTAAAAGCCGATGTTGAGATGTTAAGGCACGCATCAGAGGTGTACACTCCTAAAGTGTTTAAAATGTTTGAAGAAGAATATCTCAAAGCTTGGGATTGTATGATTGTAAAGATCAGCAAATCTGAAGGTAAAGCAGAATATCAAGTGAGATATGCGGGTAGAGGTGCAGGACATCGTGTCCAATTTGAGTCTTCGCTTCAAAGAGTTGAATGTAGTTGCATGAAGTTTGAGTTTGTGGGTATTTTGTGTTCTCATGCCCTAAAAGCTCTTGACCAGAAAAATATAAAGCAAATCCCAAGGCAATATATATAAAAAAGATGGACAAAGGATGCGAAAGATGGATATATCAGCAGTTCAAGTCGAGTGCAGGGAAGTTCTGAGAAACTCATTGGGAAGCGTTACTTTGATCTGCATTATAATTTTCGAGAGATATCCACACTGGCAGCTGAGAGCGACAGAATGTATGAGCATGCAAGTGGAGTTTTTTCAAATTTGCTGAAGAATTTGCAGGAAATGAAAAAAAATTCACATGCTGGAACTTCTGAAGAGGTATTATGCTCTAATCATGAACAAGATTATCCAAATGTAGTTGGAGTAAAGTCAAAAGCTACGGTTGGACGACCTAAAGGAAGAATGAAAGGTGCATTAGAGCGAGGAAAAAGTCACAAGGTTCAATCAAAATTACAGGTTCTTTTTTCTCCTTTGTGTATGTTTTATAAGATAAAACTATTATACTATCTTCTTATATTATTCATTTTTAAAATCTTATTATATATAGGGTAAGAAGCTCAAAGCTAGTTCTTCTCAACAAGGTGGAAGTAGTACTGAAGTGCTAGAACAAAATAATCAGGTTTTGCTTTGCATATTTTGTCATCTAAATTAGAATGCTAGTATTTTGTTTTATGTTTTATCAAAAGCTAAGTGAGAGTATCTTATCATTGTAACAATTATTATAATTTCAGATGGTGATTGGGCACCAATCACAGAATTCAATTATCAATCCAGTCGGAGAAAACATTGATTCTGCTATTTCTTTAAGCAATATATCATTCACACAATTGTTACAGGTATGAAGACGATCCAAATATTATTTATTTTGATCACTTCTTTTAGAAAATTTAGAATCTAACATAACTATGGTCTTTGTTAAATTTGCAGGATGCTATGACAAATTCTGATCTACACGGTGTAGAAGAGTGACAACATTTATTTTTTCTCAAGTATCTTAGTAAGATTAATGCATTTCAAAAACTATTTTCTTAGAAATATTTTTGTCATTAATGGGAAGAAGTACACAGATTATAATTTGATTGGTACCATTACTTGTGAATGATTTATTTATTTATTTATGCTAGACTCAATTTATTTACAATTATGTTCGTAAAGCATCCCAAACTCTATTATTTGATATATATGTTCTCATTAAAGTGGAGAAGCAGAATGATAATAGCGGAAACTGCATTCCGTTCCGTCCCTTCCAATCAAGCAATTTAGGTTAGCCATTAAAAAATTGAAAAGAATAAATATTGAGCCAATCAAAAGGCTCCACGTGGGTTGGCTGCTGCTGCTGGCGGCAACCCAGCTTGCTGCCAAATTTCGCCCTTTTATAGCGGCACCGTAGTATTGACTTTTGTTTTGGGATTATTATTCCAAACTCATTTCTTTATTCGAGATAAGTATCTTTGGGCCAGCATAGCTAGTTGAGGCCCAACTACAATGTCCCTTGTCGAAGTAATACCCGGATAATGGATCAGACATATAAAAGTTATTATATAGAGCCCACTTATTCTTAGGGGTCGTTTGGATGGAGTATTTGTATGAGTTATTTGGGTTCAAATAACTCACAATGAGTTATTTGGACGCAAATAACTCGTTTGGCAGCGTTTTAGTGAAATGAGTTATTTGGACAGTGAGTTATTTACAAATAACTCAAAACGAGTTATTTGAAATAACTTATACTCATGTGTTATTTCGAAATAACTCGTTTTATCACTCTGCTTTTACCAAATACCACATGTCAAATACCACATTTGCATGGTTCAACCAAACGAGATACTTTATTTCAATTGCCACTAAAATAACACTGGAATACCACATGAGCAATAAATGAGTTATTTGACTCTACAAATACCACATTGACAATAAACCCATCCAAACGACCCCTTAGTCCATTTGTGGGTTGGGTTGTTTTCTGAAACGAGGAAAAAATTTCCGCTGTTTTCGTAATATAACTAGGCCGGCAGAAAATAATTCTGATACCATTTCCCAAATTATCGCAAGTCACTCTCGATACATTGACTTGTGAATGGGAGTGGTCGTTTCATTTAGCTATTAATATTAGTATAGACTCATTTATACATTGTTTTCATGAAAAATAGTTAAATAAAGATGTTTTTTTTTTTCAAATAACATACAAGGGTAGATCACCTTACCTAATGTTATTAAAATTGGGTTGAAATGGTAGGTTAGATCGGTAAAATCGGAACCCGACCGCAAGCTCGGCTCTAATTAGTGCAAAAGAATGGGTCAGCCGGCTGACTAGTGTTTTGAATGGCTAACCATTCGAATCGATTGAACCGACCGATCAATTCCAAGCATTCAGCAGTCCCATTCTCGGTTTCTCACCCATCAAGCAAACAAAATTTAAAATAATTGCCCCAATCAAGGAGCTCGACGTGTATACAAGAAAAGAAAGAACTACAGCAAATTAATGGCCCAATTTAGTTCATTTTCATTTTCCAATCTCACTTTCCACATCAAATTAATGGCTCCAATTTAATAATCAAAAGTAAAAAATCTTAATTTCTCTCGATTTTAATCACTTTCCAATTCTCCACCCTTATGTATGGAATTATTAATTAAATTGCCCTAATTTAATTCTCTACAATCTCCTGAATGTGTAGAATTATGATTTTTACTTTTTAGTGTAATGATATGTTAGTTATAAAATTAGTATTTGTGATGCACTGGTTCATTAACGGTTTTTAATGGCTTAATACTGGTTAAACAAGTAAAGTGTGAACCACTCGTCATACCGGTTTATAATCCGATTCAGTTCTGAAAATATTGACCCCACACCAAAAGACGAATATAGATATTGAAGTACCTACCTCCCACCGAAAAAGAAATACCTATCCACCCCATTGCCATTGCCATTGCGATCACGCCATCGCTAACGATAACAAGTTAACAACTATAGGTGTCAATCGGGCGGGTTCGGGCGGGTTCGGGTCGGGTTCAGTCGGGTTGCGGGTTAAGCGGGTTGCGGGTCAAGCGGGTTGCGGGTCAAGCGGGTTCGGGTTGATCGGGTTGCGGGTTGATCGGGTTGCGGGTTGATCGGGTTCGGGTTGATCGGGTTGCGGATCAATCGGGTTACAGGTTGATCGGGTTGCGGTTCAATCGGGTTCGGGTTGATCGGATTGCGGGTTACAACAGGTCGGGTTGCGGGTTGTTCGGTCCAAACCATCGAGTTTTTTTTATAATTAGCTACTACACTAATTTTAAACAAACTCACCGATCACCATATTGCAATGAAAAGAACATGAAGATACATTATTAAACAAATGAGTGACTAGATTTTGCTTGAATATATCATAAACAAGTTTGATTTTGCAGAGGATTCATTAAAGTTACAAAACTAATATAAGAAATTAAAAAGCTGATACCTTGCTTGATCATAAACCTATGAAACAATCTCTTGAGTCTTGATAGTTAAGACCATTACATGATGTTTAACCAAATATAATAGAATGAAATACAGAAAAGTACATAAGGCTCCATTAATCTTGAAGATTTCTCTTACTGCACATCTTAATATGCCTCCATAGTGAAACTGTCCCATTCTTATTAGGATAGCATCCAATAACCTTCATGCAATGGTTGCATTGAAGCTTGACCTCCCCCTCTGATTCAACTTGAGTGAAATTCTCCCAAATTTTGCTTCTTCTAGCCCTGGCGTCCATTGCTTCTGGAAAAAAGAAACGAAAAAGTCCATAACCAGAGCAAAAGTAGTGGTGAGTTATTTTAGTTTAGTCTGGTTGCCTTGACTTCTATTGTTCACTATTTCTATTCTTTCCCATAATTGACACTTCTACAATTGTCCTAATTGATTTCATATAAGTGGGGAAATCATATTGGTACTTTCTGGATCAGGACTAAGAAGGAAATAGGACGTTGACAGTTATTTCTAACTTTTGGTTGAATCCTACTCCTCTTGGATATGAAGTGAAACAAATCAAGTCCTGTGTCTTTTAGTTTTAAAAATGTAGATCTTAAATAGGTTTACTTAGGAGAGCACCCTGATCAGGCAATCACATCTCCTCACTACAAATCAACTGAAATGTGCCAACGTATATATACAAAGCAAATATTTACCCGCTCGCATATTAAACTACTTCACTTGGTTATAAGGCTAATCCGAAACAACCCAACAGTTAAGGAATGATAGTACATACTTCAACCTTATCGAGTAAACGCCACTATGGATGCTTCTCTTATTCCAATCGCAGCACTCTGGAAAATGGAGGGCCCAATTAAGGCCTCAATCTCAAATTCAATTACACATACTATACAATTACTTTCCTTGATTCAAACAACACAAGCCAAATCAATTTAAGGGAAAACACTTTGACTGAATACTCATAAGCAACATTCTCCCTTATTGGCCTAGCTAGTTATAGGATCCACTCAGACTGAGTGTATAGAATGAACATCTCATTCTCAAATGGGGCGACAGCCGGACTTAGATTGGGTAACCATGGACCTCAAATATCAGTTGATAACCTCATAAAGCGTGTTAAACTTAAGTATCTTATTAGTAGGAGGCAATATGGAGTTGCATCCACAGGAGATGTAAATTGGACATCTGAATCATAATATCTTTGACTGTTCCTATAACCTAAAATCAAGCTAACTTTGAACCCCCTAAATATTTCCCCTGCCCAGAGACAATCTCAAAGGAAGATACAAATCCCACTAGCTCAACAGAAAAGTGGAGTAAAGAGTGTCAAAAGTAAGCTAGAAAGTTGCAGGTCTAGAAGGGAAAAGTTGGTTGGAATACGCTGAAACTAGATCTTTGCGAGCGGAAGAGCGAACCTCTGTAAGGGGAAAAAATAGTAAATTTACTTTCTCGAACAAGGAAATTAGAGCTTCGATAGGCTTACTTGAGATATGCTGTTGTTGATGTAAAAGCGGAACTGGTTCGACAGAAGCGCTGCTGTGGGAACAATGGCTGCGATTGTTGGCTTTCTCGTCCAAAGGAGGTAGTCACAGATCGAATGGTTGAATGGTTATGAATTGAAGAAGGGGCGGAAAGCAGTCATCGAAAAAGACTGGGTAAACGGACGGCGATCATCGAAAAGGTGTGGGCATGGACGGTGACTCCTAAAGGGGGTTTTGCTCTACTGCGAGATCCATTGTTGTGGTTGTGGAGAACTGGAGAGTGGAGATAAGGTAGATGGGAAAGGGAATGGTCCTAGACTCCTAGTTATTGGTAAAGTAATAAAAAAACTCAAAAAATGCAAACAAAAAAGAAACTGAAAAAGTTTAAGAAAAAGTTGGAGCGAAAAAATTTTGGAAGCCCGCCAACCCCGAATGTCTATTGCGTCTTTTTTATTATTAACGAGGGGGATTTATTTTAAACTGAGATGGGGGGATTTATATATATATTGTTAATAATAATTTTTTTTTTTCACGGAAAACTAGGTTGGGATGGGGGGAATTTCAATTTTGGATCAAATATTGGGGGAGGTGGGAGGGAATTTTCAATTTTTGATCAAATATTGGGGGAAGGGGGTTTATGAGAGGGAATTTTAAAAAAAAATGGGTTTGCAAGGGAATTTTTGAGCAAAGATTTGGGGGGGTTTTGAATTTTGCATTCAAAAAATTTCCATAAACATCTAGTTCTTCCTTTCTTTGATATTTATTATTATAGATGATAAATTTTATACCGATTAACTAGTTTGTTGTTCGATTCGTTGGTCGGAATGTCATTTGAATATGATATATTTAAGATGTACATTCACAAGTTAAACTAATTGTTAAAATCAAATTAATTAATAAACTATAAAAATCAAAATATCCAACATAAAGCATAACATGAATAAACCCTAAACCCTAACCCTATACCCTAACCCTAAACCCTAACCCTATACCCTAACCCTATACCCTAACCCTATACCCTATACCCTATACTATAGTTATATGTTATGAAATTGTTAGTATAAGCTATAACGTATGTTATGTGAAGACTGTAAGTTGAGTCAATTTTATATTCGGTTATTGAGAAGAACATACGTCATATGACTCCAAACTCTAAACCACGAGTCCACTACCGTATACCCTATACACTAACCTTAAACCATGAACTATAGTTATGTGTTATGAAATTGTTGGTATAAAGTATAAACTATAACGTATGATATGTAAAGAATGTTAGTTAAGTCAATTTTGTATTCAGTTATTTAGAAAAGTATAATACCCGTAAGTATTTTATACGTAACTTTCCCGTACCGTATTTTACTAACTATGCTATACATTAAGTGAATTTTATGTATACGTTGACATAAAATAAATTTTAAGGATGATCTTACTAAGTTGTGAACCATTAATTACAATCTAACTTTTTATTTTAAAATTCAGTTAGCAAAAACATGTTAAAAAAATATGCCTTTGCCATGCTTTGAACCATGTACCTTGAGTTGGAAAGACCATCACTGAAGCCAACTAGTCCACGCAATTTTTTTGGTACAATTCGAACTTGTTGTTACTTTGTTCACTGAAAGGCAGAGAGACCAGAAAATTAAAACGAATCCCTAATACCCTAACCTCTCGAGTCTCGTCTATCATCCAATATTCTCACTTTCGTTTCTTGCCGACCTGCGCGGCTGCGCCGAGAAGACGACACTGCTGCTGCCGCTAGATCGTCTCCGCTGTCGATCCTCACCTGCGCCGAGTAGAAGCCCCTCACCTACAGTCCTACGCCGCCGCCGTTGCTGCCGCTAGATCATCTCCGCCGTCGATCCTCACCTGTTCTCCTTGAACACGGCCACCGCTTTCTCCTCCGCCGCCGGCCGCCGTTCACACAGACGTGCTTCGCAACTTTCCGATTTTGGCCGGTTGATTGATTGAATTTCAGGTTACTCTTGTTCGTCTCTCAACATACTATGTTTTGGCTTTAGCTTGTACACTAATGAGTAATAGAGATAGAACTAGACGCAAAGGGAAATGGACGCAAATTAATGGTTATTAATGTTTTGGCAATTGCAAATAACTCAGAAATGGACGCAAAGGGAAGCATCTTGAATCTGCAGAAATGGTTTATATTTCTCTGTTGTGTTTCACTGGTTATTAATATATATGTTGAATCTGCAGAAATGGATGCAAATAACTCAGAGAGAGAGAGTGTTGCTGGTAGCTCTAGTCCAGTTTCAATTCCTAAACCGAAGGCTAATTCCCGTCGTAGATCAGATGTGTGGGATGATGTCGAATTGTTCGACTCTGTTGATGATGAGGGAGTCGTTGTTAAGAAAGGAAAATGCAACACTTGCGGCAAGATATATAAGGCAGGTGCAAGAGATGGCACATCAACTCTGTGGCGTCACGTTAAAAGCTGTAAGAAACTCCTATCTTCTAATTTGAACTCGGATGCAAGTCATTCACATGGGCCTAACACATGTGATAGTTGTGGTCACAATAAGATAACTCAGGAAGGCTTTCGTGACAAGCTAGCATCAGCAACAATTATGCATGATTATGTTTTTAGATGTGTTGAGCATATTGGAAATAGAGAGGTGCATCATTACCTAAACAGTAATGCTAAACCAATTTCAAGGAACACACATAAATCTGATATCATGAAGATGCAACAAGTACCCAACAAGTAACTTGTTTTTCGAGAATGTTTGGAAGATCCATCTTGAGCTGAAGAATCTTTGTATAAGTTTTGATGATGATATGAGAGGTATGGGAAACACAATGATGTCCAAGTTCTTGAAATATTGGAAAGACTACAACTTAGTGCTTGCTTTTGGTGTCATTTTGGATCCTCGTTACAAGCTTGCATTTGTCAAATTTTGCTATGAAAAGTTGGGCGAAGAGTACACTTCAAAGCCGAAGGCTATTATGGATGATTTGGAGATGCTCTTTAAGGAGTACAAAACTCAATCGTCCACTTTACCTAGTCAAAATGTGGTGCATATGGCTTCTCCGAGCATTCCTTTGGATAGCCACACTGCTGTAAGTATTCTAATTACCTTTTGAGTCATCTTGTTGTTTATACTTCTTTCGATCTTATGTCTGATTATTGATGATATGTTTATTTTCAGGGTTTCTATGCTTCCAATATCAATCAGAACACATCAACTAGATCCGAGTTGGAGTTATATTTGGCGGATCCTTTAATTCCTGCTTATGCAGACATTGATGGGGTTCCTACATTGCTTCCTTTTGAAGTATTGCAATATTGGAAGGATCATCAATTTCGATATCCTCAACTCTCTCGGATGGCAAAAGATGTGCTTTCTATTCCAATTTCATCAGTTGCTTCCGAGTCGTCTTTTAGTTTGGGAGGTAGAATATTATCCAAATGGAGGACTTCCATTTTGTCTGATACCCTTGAAGCTGTTGTGACAACTCGTAATTGGATGCATGGATATAAAATGGGTAAGAAAATTTCTATTTTTTTTGTGTTTATTAAAGTAGGTGAGAGTTTACTTACAATGATGTTTTTACTTTCAATGACTAATTGTACAGATGAGGATAATGAAGATGCAGAATATGATGGAGAAGAAGTTAAGCTTGTTGATTGATCGCCAAGTGAATTGCCATTTTAATTTGTGAACCTATTTTGTTGGTATGTAAGATGTGACAATGTTAGTTATGTATTTGTATCCTACTATTTTTTATATGGTAGAATTTAGTAAGCAAACTATTATGTATCTTCTTATTATTGGGGCTAGGGTATGAGTTATGACTTATGTACTATTATGAATCTTCGTATGCTAGGTTAATATTTTGACAATGTTATGTGACCAGTTATTTAATGTGTGGAAGAAAAAATGTTGTAATTATTAGGTATTGATATATGATTGGCTTAATTAAGTCAATCATGTTTTTCATATGTATGTGTTATCTATATATATTATTTATACACATCAACCAAATGAAAAAAATGTTGACAACCCTCCTAGGATTTCTACTTATCTACCGAGATAGTGAGACTATTATGTGATTCAATTAAATGACAGTTTTTATTTGTCAACACAAAGTAAACCTTTGTTCTCGGTGGGAAAGATGAAAAAATAATAGGGCAAGTCACATAAACTTTATATATATATTATCTACATATAATATTTATGCACAAAAATATATTATGTAGTATTATTCGTGCCAATCGGGCGGGTTCGGGTTGGGTTCATCGGGTTCGGGTTAGTCGGGTTACGGGTCTAGCGGGTTGCGGGTCAAGCGGGTTGCGGGTCAATCGGGTTCGGGTTAAGTGGGTTGCGGGTCAAGCGGGTTGCGGGTTAAGCGGGTTGCGGGTCAAGCGGGTTGCGGGTCGGGCGGGTTGCGGGTCTTTGACTTTTAGTCAAATCGGGTTGCGGGCGGTTCGCGGATCGGGTTGGTTGGGCGGGTTACTCGGGTCGGGTCATGTTTTGACACCTATATTAACAACCCAACATCATCATGCTATGGCCCCGCTGTCGCTCAAGCGGCACGTGGGGCTGAGGTTCCCTGGGTTATCAAAAAAAACATCATCATGCTATATGGCCTATACCCAATGATACTTTGCCCCATAAAACCAACGATACAAGGCCGAGTTAGCTGTATTGTGGGCTTAAGCCAATTTTGGTTTGCCAAATGCCATTTCTGACCAGAGAACTTCAAGCCCATCCTAACTTAATAAAACAAGTACAATGAAGCCCAGAGAATACTTCTCCTGGGCTCGCTGGCCTTTTCTCCTCCTAATGGGCTTACCCCAAATTTACGGGCTCATCTGTGCATCGGTGAAAAAGTTACAATGCGTCAAAGCCCACCTTGAACTAAAGCACATTCATAACACAAAATTTACTCACTTTAACCCAAATTTCTAGGTAAGTTGGTGCAGTTTTTTATTACGAAAGATAATTTTATTGATTAGAAAAAGATTGAACAAATTCCATTCTGATATACAACTAGAAAAGAAAATCAAAAGAGCAACATGTAATTCTTTATTTTTTTTTTAAATTATGAAAGAAAAATGTTAAAGTGCAGTTCTTTCACGTTAACAAATTAGTTGTTTTTGTTGTCACTATTTAACCAATTGGTTTGATCAATTCATCGTTTTATGTATAAAAATCTTCAACATAAGCATTTCTTGTAACAAGTCATGTAGACTCCAACACAAATGAGACTAAATCGAAGGTCAATCTCTCTCAAACCCAACACTGAAGAGATATGGGACAATTAAGTACCACATCAAAAATTTAAGAAAAGTGATCGTATATATTAGTGTCCACCAAACCTAATTAGTAATATAAATTTTGGAGAGTATATCCAAAAATATTTTCGTGTTGGTTTAGCTCAAAGCATACAATATCGTACTAATGGAGTTACCTGGTTGCAACAAGTGGTTTAACCTTCCCTCAAGACAAGAACCACAAACATCGTGTCCTCCCATCAGCGATTATGTTGACCTGCCTTACGACGCGAATTTCCCTTTGATCTCCCAATCATATGCATATCCCCAATTCCAAGGCCATTGAAAGAGGATCCACCGAACCAACGTCCACCTCCCTGAAACTGGAACACCAAACCAGACTTTGATACCATTTGATGAAACTGGGTAGCTCCATTAGTATGATATTGTCTGCTTTGAGACAAGTCCGCACATATCTACTTTTGGATATCCTCCTTAAAAAAGCTCGTACTAATTGGGCTAGGTGGACACTAATATACAAAGACCCTTCCTTTGTATTTTCGTTATGATACTTGGATTGTACCATAACATAACAATCTTCCACTCAAGACAAGGACCGCAAACGTTGTGTCCTCTCCTAAGATATTATTTTGATCCACCAGACACCTTGGATCGAAAACTTTGCTTGACACAATGATTTTCGAAATGCATATCTCCTTGATCAACCAGACAGACCAAAATCGCCCTTGATCTTCCAAACAAACGCATATCTCAAATTTTGAGGCCACAAAATGAGAGCCCAACAAACAAACGTCAAGCGCCCCCAAATCCAAACTTGGTAAAACAAAGCTCTGATATCACTTGGTAAAACCGGATAGTTCTATTAGTACGATATCTTTCATTTTGAGCCAACCCTGCACGAATTTTCTTTTCGATATCCTCCTCAAAAGCCTTGTATTAATTGCCTTTATTTTCGATGATTGTAGCATAATGCAATTCTCACTTGATCGGTAATTGTATTATGGTCGGGTTGGGTCAGGAACTTCTGATGTCCACAACCCCAAACCCACAGCCAAATCTAATAGGCCTGGTTTGAGAAAACAAGATCCTCACCATCCGATATTGTACTGGGGTCGATACAGATGGGTCAGCCCAAGTGTGATACTATATATGGGATGGGATACAGTAGGGGTTTATGAGTGTCACAACCCATTTTCTAGCCATTGGATACGCGCGCTCTCTCTCTCTCTCTTGTCATTTTCTTCTCTTTTTCAAATTGTGGTTAAGACCAAATGAAGAGTATTTTTGGAAGGGAAAAATATTACTACAACCAATCATTCTGCCTCCCATATAAATAATAATAATAATAATAATAATAATAATAAACCTAACTCGTCCCTCTCTTCCTCCTTCCTCTCTCCAGCAGACGACACCGCCGCCGCCTCCCTCCACCGCCACCATCCTGTAACCCTCCGTCGAGCTCTCTACCGCCGCCGCCTCCGCAATCCTCCACCTCTCTCTACCCACTACTGTTGCCAGCTCTCTGCCTCCGGCCTCCTCTGTCACCACCGTCGTCGCCTCCTCTGCTCGCATCTTCCGGTACGGGTTCCTCTGCCACTACTCTTCCTCTCTTCCCCTTCGTTTTTCAAATCTGTGATTTTTGGATTTTCATATCTAGTTTTTTTTTTCTAGTGGTAGTAATTTTTATCTGGTACCAGATGGAGTAGTGCGCTACCACTATCATCTGTGGTAGTGGTAGCATACCACTCCATTTGGTACCACTACCATCTGCCATCTGGGAGCTGCTCGTGGTAGCGTACCACTATCATGCTACAGGATGGTAGGGGTACCGCTGTACTGGCATACCACTCAAAAAATCACTACCACTAGACTAATGGATTGATACATTTTTTTAATGCACTGGTACTTTTTTCAGGTTGTAGGAGATAGTCTGCCGGAGAGATTTCGTCGGAGGAAGTCTGCCGGAAGGATTTCAACGGAGAAAAATCTGTCGCTCGGAGCGGGGTTGCTGCTAAAAAGGAAGAGAGAGATAGAGAGAGATATAAATGTATTTATTGTAGAATTTAAATTTTAGAAAAACATGTATTTAATATGGATGGTTAATTTCCAACGTGTAATTAATATATTATTTTTTTATCATGCACAAAATATCCTTTGTGAATCTCACAACTCTTTTAGAGGAAGTGAGAGTAGCTCGCCCCTACGGGGGAATGGATCAGGTCAGTAACCTTATGGTGAGTAACCATGAGTAACCAGTCCACATCAGCATGACATAAGCATCTTCTCTCTCATAGAAAGCCTTTAATTTTTTCCTCTTTAATCTTTGACGGACGATTTCTCGCTCATTTTAAGTCAAAATTTTTTTTTTTTTGCACAGTTAGATCAGATTAATTGTGCTCTTCAAAATAATATCCACTTTAATATATTTTTCGAACAAAAAAAATTAAGCCATTTTTTACCAGCCTATACCATATGGTATTGACTGGTATTGAAATAAAAGCATACCTATGTTTTGAAAAACGTACCATGGTGGTATGAACAAACTAATACTGTAGGATGGTTGAATACATGATAGTAGAAGTATATTAATTGTAATTTACGACTTTTAACATTGTATACCACACAATACCACCCCGTACCAGGGTGGTATAGTATGGTATTGTGTGGTATTTTTTGGTCCTGTAATTTGTTCACCCAGAAATTTGTAGATCCAATAGATCATGATGAACTCGTCCCTTCTGTGCAAACGTTTTCAAAAACGAATTAAAAACGAAGAAGATACCATACAATACCACCCCGTACCAGGGTGGTATTGTATGGTATTGTGTGGTATTTTTTGGTCCTGTAATTTGTTCACCCAGAAATTTTTAGATCGAGTAGATCATGATGAACTCGTCCCTGCTGTGCAAACGTTTTCAAAAACGAATTAAAAACGAAGAAGATACCATATGGTATGCAGTTGGTACCGAGAGGCCATAATTTTTTTTCCTCAAAAAATATTGAAAATTGATCTCATTTTGTAGAGCATGGTGAACTTGTTCCATCTGTGCAAAAAACATTAAAATCCGAGTTAAAACGAAAAAGATATGAGTCAATTAAGAAAGCTAGTGAAAATAAAAATAACATTTAATTCTCCATCCTTAGATCTGGGTTTTCTAAATGAAGGGTCCAGATTTGGTTAGGGGTGATAAACGGTTAGTCGGTTATCGGTTTTAACCGATAACCGAACCGATAAAGTCGGTTAGTGGTTAACCGATAACCTCTACTTCCTTATTGATTTCGGTTTCGGTTAGTAGTATTTTGGTTAGTGGTTATACGCTAACCGATTAATCGGTTAGAGGCTAACCGATAACCGCCTACTAGTGTGACTACATGATTTTTTACTTTGGCTAAGGGAGAAAGTTGTAAGATTCAAAACCAATCAAAGTTGCAATTCCAAACATCCCAATTCTCACCTATTGCAAACAACCCTCCATCAAGAGTCTCAAATATTTTTAAGAGTTAGAACTCGAAAGTCACCCCTCTCTAAATCCCCTTTGCACTCGATAGAGTGAACCTTAGGTTGATGACTATGGGCTAGATGAAGATCTTGGAGTAAATGATGACTATGGGCTAGATGAATTGGAGCGAGATCCTCAGATCATTTAGGTTGATGATTT